GGCTCGGTGGAGGGTGTGGTTTCCAGAAATCCCTTAAACAGGCAACGACCCAATATAAGTACATAAGAAAAATTTTAGGTATCCCGACGTCTTTATGTTACTGGTAACATAAGTACGTGCAGCGTAGTCCTTGTATCGCATCGAACGCTTTCGTTTGTACAAGAAAGTTTCTATGCTCTTGCTAACCTAGCAACAGCAGACGCGCTAGATGAATAGTACAGTTTAAGCACAGTAGCTCTCCATGCTACGGCCACAATCGGCGTACATCGTGCGTCAAGTTCCGATATTACGAGCGAATAGCGAAACTCGTACAGTAATAGCGAGCTCGTAATAGCGAAACAGTACTTACTTGATCAGTTCGATAGAAGCGCCTTCGTAATTTTATGTGTACGGTACTCATAAGTACTTCATCTTTTTATGCACATAAAACGTTAACTCTTACCAAAACCCAAAACGTCTGCAAAATACTAATCTGCTCGCTGTATTCCTGTAAATATTTGGAATGGGACATTATTTATCTACATTTAAATCGCCAGAATCGATTCATGGTGCGCCTTCGAATTTCGATACCCACTGAACGCCATTATTGCCGATTAGATGGCTCTGTTCTAGGTCTGTTGCTACAATCACATTTCTGGAGGCGCAGGTCGGAATATTGTGGATACGTTGACCTCTGCATTTTACAGCGTACATAATTCCCGCCCGGTAGGCTGTAAGCAGCAAAAATTTGCATTGTTTTGCTAGTCGCTTATGCGCCAAAGGAACTTTCCGCCAGTAAATTTGTTCCATTGAACGTAGGGCTTGATTGAGTTTCCAAATACCGACCAACGTATCGCATAGAATTTGGCTTTGGGTCCCGGAGATGCTTATGCACAAGTGTCGACCTTTATGTTTCTCGACGAAATTTTTGACTAGTTTGACCATGGAAATTTGAGCAGTCTTACAAAACGCCAGAATAACAGACAGGAATGAGTTGGCCTGAATGAAACGGCAGTCAATTACTCGTCCAGCAGGGCTTTTCGTTTAACACTGCCCATCTTTGTAGCGAATCGCGATCATTACTTTGCAGACTAATATGAATATCAGGAGTGTAAACTTGACACAGGGCATTGCATTTCCATTGAAACTTGCATTTTCGAAAGAAACTCACCTGATCATGTCTTTATGGTGTTACTTGTTTGCTTTAAATTTAAGAAACAAAATTTAAACGGAAGTGCTACGCACCTTCGATCCTCGCAAATTTTCACTTAAATACCTCCTATATCTTTTTTCTTTATATTTTCACTTTAAAAACAGTTTTAAATATTAAGATTTTTTAGAGGTGCATTATTAGAATTAGAAAAATGAGTGAAAAAGCGCAAAGTTCCAGAAAGGTTGCAAATGAATTTTGCAGTTTATTCATAGTTGAAATTTCCGAAGCAAACCTGACAACTAGGGTAGTCATATTAAAACTTGACTGGTTTCGGTCTAGGGCATTTAATAGATCAATAATAGCGGAAAACCAAATAAGGCATTAAGGCTTTCCCCGGTATCTCAAAACATCAAGCCCGACACGCCGGACAGCTAGGTCATCGCCGCTGGTATGTACAGTAGTTCACATACTTTACTAAGTCTTGTTTTCACACAATCTTACCGACCAAAACGTGTTTATGCGGCGTTTTAATGGATTCAAAAACGCGTGGTCAGTTTTAGCCATGCTTGGTCTTGAAAAATTTTATATTTTCCATAGATTTGCCTCCTTATTTTAGATTTTTCTTAATGACCCCTGGTCAGAAAATAACTTCACTGGGCCTTAAGTATAGAAAATGTATGGAGCACGAAAACTAAGTACTGAGTCAAATTAAAACTAAGTACTAAGTACTAAGTCAAATTTCGATAAGAGTAGTCACATCTGTAAACTTCAAGGAAAAACCTAAAAAACTGACCTAATCCTCCTGGCTCGGGTGGGGTACGGTGCTCCGTTTTCAGACGATTTCTTGAAACTCATATACCTGTAGAGTTGTAGCTCTCCGCATGCCAATTTTCCGAGCGATTTTTTCCACAAGTGGGAATGGGGTCGGAGTATGTATAATCGTATGGGTCAAACCCAAGAACGACGGATGGGAAACTGAAAAGTGATATTACCTGAAGGCTTTAACATTATTACAACCTTAGTCCCTTAAAACTTGGCCTCTGCAGTACACAGCGAGAATACGTCAGGGTTGCCTTGTACTCTACTCTGTATCTATATACCGTATATATATAAAACTTATAAAATTGTTTTGACAGCAGCTTGTCGTTGTCGTCCTTGAATTTTTATTTCATGTGAAAACAACCTTTTAGTAAAAGGCTTTCTTCACTTTCTAAAATTGATATCTTTTTAAATTGGTTGTGGTTTTGAGCAACAAGATGCTTTTAAGATGGCTACAAGGTCGACGATTTTTGCGTAGTGTCACGTTTTACAAGCCGGGTTGGCAAGAAGGCGTTCTTCGGTTTCCTGGGTGCAGAGCATAGTCTCGTTAAGCATGATACACGGTGGCTCACTACAACCAGCATCATTAATTTTGTTAAAGGCCATCGAATGCAAACGTGCAATGCCACAGGTAAAACTTACGATCGGTCGAACGCATTATTTGATTACCGAAGTACGCTCACCGGCTTTTGCCGCTTCCGGTCCGCGTTTTCTTCCGCAAGCTGTTGAAGATCGTACAGAATCTGCCTTTTGTAATTCATCCGTTGCCATGCTTCATATAAATCGTTCAGATGGACCTAGATCTCCGGATCGCAGGGTTCACTCAGCAAATCCTCCAGATTTCGAATTTTAAGAACAGTCTCATTAGAATTTCCTCTACGAGGTCCTGGGGAACAACTCTTATCCATGCCAGTAAGGAGTGTGACGTGAACGATCATTGCGAAACAAAAACCGAGTTCGACTTTATAGTTTTACTGTTTTACTGATTTTTCTATTCAAAGAATTAAAATGACGGATTCAAGCTGATATTCTTGTACTTTAATATTAATATTCCGTTCGCAACTTGAGCAGACAAGCAACTGAAGGTATTTTTATTTTCAAGTACAAGAATCGTGAATCGTCGTAACCCTTTTTAGGATGTCCATTTGCATGGCGCTTAAAGCGGAATGCACGGCATCAGTATGATTCGCATTGATTGACAGTAGTGCGTGAAAGTCTTACTGCACAGTTGTCCGTGATTATCTGTACTGGACGTTACTGCGGCGCTGTCCACAATGACCAATCCCGTAGTGTAGTCCGCGCGGTTGCTGCTAATGCTGACTCGCAAGGTGCAGGTTCGCAATTTCTCTTGACCGGTTATCGCGTTAAGGGCCACCTTACATTCGCATCGGCTTGATTACAATTCTGTCACCGTCCCATTGCACTGCTCCACGCCCTGATATTTAACTCATCCAGCAGGTCTATCACCACTCGCGAATGCACGTCACCACCGGCATCCGTGAAGTTCATGTGGTTTTTCTTATAGTGATCTACCATTTCGTTTTGGCTGGGATTTCGTATTATGTTGTTTTCCGTTTTTGGGAAGCATTAATTTTAGTGTAGAGTCTACACTCTACAGATATACAGCTAGATGCAGCATACAGTAGTTACATACAACTGGCCGAACGCGTAATGCTTTTTTGTAAACGTTCGTGAACCAGGGCATGAATTACATATTACAAAATTATTATTATTTTTGCCATTGTTATATGGTTTCTAAGGTTTATTTGTATGTTGAGCCTGATGGAGCGGCTTTACAATTAGGATCCGGAGGACCGGTTGTGTGTGGACTGCAGTTTTATTTATACCCTTGCTCTCTGCAATCTGGCGACAGACATTTTATTGTTTTTATAATGACGAGGACAAGTTAACTATCTAATATCTGATAGAGAAACTCGCTGATATTTTCAGTACGAAAATTTAATGTTATGTTTCGGTCCGCTTTCATTAAATGTACAGAGTAATGTACAGAGTAGTACAGTGAACTACTTTCTGCCGCAAATAACCGTATATTACAACTATAATTGCCCGTTGCTGCCGCATTAACGCTATAATTGCTGAAATAAAAACTGAGGAGGTTAGCTGAAGCTAGTGTACGTTTTGGGTGTCGTAAATTGCGTACGCTACAACAGTTGTTCGATCCTGTCCCATCAGTCTGCGCCAGTCGTTACGCGTCGGACAGAACGGGGTGCAGATTGTAATTGGCACGCACCCATCGCCCCATGATTGATGAATCTGGCAAAAAGGGTTACTGACTGCCGGGTTAAGGGGGGCAGAAAGGGTTACCGATCTCATTCTTTACTCACTGCATGTCCGTAATAATATGTCCTTCGAATTAATGGAGAGTCACAATGCAGCCTGTCGAATGGGATAAGATACATACCCAGCCGCTTTTTTCCGGATGGTATTTCCGGGTTTGCTGCAATCAATTACTATGATTGGATATTCGTTATCGTCCTGTTTTTGATCCGGTAGTGTGTATTTGGAGAGCGTGTACCTATCTGAATATTCGCGACATGGTCAAACTCGCACACGGTAGCAGTTTGACTGTAAGTTCCATGTTTTACAAGAATAGAACAGCAGTTTCGCTATAAGGTCACGACTTGTCACACTATTTGTCAATTTCATTACTGTGCTGAATTTTTCAAGCCATCGGAACGCCTCCGTATTTGTGTAGCTTGTGAGCGTTTGCTAATGCAACGCTTCTAGCGTACACGGTACGGAGTGGTTTCGCTTTATTGGATGCTGCAAATTTGTCTTGTTTAGGCAGAAGGTCAGCTCTTCGAGATTCCGATATCGGTATTGCACAATGCACACACATTAATGTTCTTGCTTGTTAGAAAATAATCCTTATTCTTTCAAGGTCTTCGAGTTATTTACGAAGGAATTTTTGTGCAAAATGGCGTTCGCTCACAATAATAACAAGTATGTGGTACTGTGGGGCTGGTGAAAGCATCTGCATAATTATCAGAAAGCTATTATCCGCCTTTTTAGGTAGCTACTTTAAAACGATGGCCAGCCTTTCGCGCAACATAAGAGTACTGAGTAAGGTATAACAATATGTAGCGAATCTTCTACAAAGAACAAAATTAGGATAACGTTCGTACGGGCTAATAATGTATGCAATGCAAATGATGTAAATATATCTGTACACTCCCCTTGTTCTGGCTCAGTTAAAGTATCGTTATTGCCTTCTTAAATAAAGGAGGCAACATCATTTTGCAAGCAAACCTATCGCGACTACAAAATTGTAACACTTGGATGTACGTACTGTCAGTATTCACGTACTCCCTTACTTGTAAATTACAGACATACAGAATAATCATGAATTTCGTAAAATTGATGTTTGTGTAACTGGCTAATAATGATGCAACGATATTGTATTCCGCTGCGGCTCTGTGGTGGGTGTGGTTTCCAGAAATCCCTGCAACACGGTAATGCTCTGAACAAAAACAATCTCCCTTATCACAACATTTTTGGTTTACGCACCTTCATGGCCGCACCCACACCGAATTTATCAAACAGCGACGTGTCATGCCCGTACAGGGACGGCAGTTCAAAGTACGTGGTCGGCGTCCCGTTCTCCAGGAGCTCATGCGCCACTTCCCGTTGCTGCCAGACGGGAAACAGTGCATCACTAGTTATCCCGACGATCAGGACAGGTACCGTAATGCGTGCCATCTCGTCCTTAGTCAACCCGAACAAATCCATAGCTTTTGACAGGTATAACAGCGTATTTGGATCTAAGATTCCGGCGCTCTTGCGACCCTGGTGCTCCAGGTATTGTTCCACCATGAAGGTTGGGTGCAGACCGATGGTGACGTCTTCGATGGTCTTGCGGCCGAAACGCTGCCGCCATTCTGGTCCGCTGCGATAGCTAATGGTGGCGATCTCGCGGGCTAATTGCATGCCGCTGACAGGAAGCGGTCCCCCTAAAATAAAGCGCCGGTTTTGCTGTGTCGGTTCATGCGCAATGTAGCGTACAATGTGGACAAAAAGGTGAAAAGCGGCCAGTCGCTGCTCGGTTCGAAAATTGGATGGTAGAGTACACAAATTGTGAACAGGAACGCATCGAATGTGCCTTAATCGCCGATACTGGGTTCGAAAGGAGCACTTGTTTGCGCTATTTGCGCGTTAAAACGTAGCGTCAACTTTTGTTAGACCTGCATTGTACTCGTAGTTCACTTCGGAAAAACGCAGCAGTGAAAATGGTAAAAACGTAAATTCGCTACATATCTTCAACGGTAAAATTTCTTAGAATTTACTCTTTGCAGGGCATATACTCACCAGGAGCCTCCACTAGTGTGTGCCAGTGCACTACGATTCTGACTTGGGTGAACAATCCCTGCAGCTGCTGCGTACTGAAAGGGCCTATCTTGCTTTCGCATTTCTTGGATCGGTTTTTATCACGGAGTGTAAAGTTCAGGAAAATATTTCGTTTTCTTCACGTGATTATTAGCGCGTAACGTGCTACAAAGTACCTACTGAATCAACTGATTTTGTGCTGATTCAAAGCGTACGTAATACTACGTATGCTGTAAACGTGCAGTTTCGTCAGTGCAATACAACGATGCGAACGCAGGTTTCGGAGTATGAGTAAAAAATGACAAAATCGGCATTATTGTGTGACTGAAATGGGTGTGGTCTTTGCGATTAAAATTCTGGCACTCCATGTATGCGGAATAATGCTGAATTGTACGGTACATTTAACCAAAGGTCACTTTTCAGTTAAATCTGTTTTTGTGTGCTACCAGTTGCAACTAAGCCATACCATAATAACATCCATCCTTCCAGTTCGGATCCAGCATCACCGCCTTCCGCTGTGTATGATTACAAGCGATACTCGTGGGCGATGATTCCCGGCACGCAGATATACTAATCAGCCGGTCCATGCGGTCAGCAAACAGCGCACCCGCCTGCAGCGCACATTCCCCCCAACGACGCCCCCACAAACGCATACAGTTTCTTGATCCCCAGATGATCCAGCAGATGGAACTGGATGCGCACCAGATCGCTGATACTCAACACCGGGAAGCTCGTCGCATACGGTTGCCCGGAGGCTGGGTCGACGCTAGACGGACCGGTGGAGCCGAAGCAGCTGCCGAGATGGTTAGCACACACCACAAAGTACTTGTTGGTGTCGATGATACTGTCTGGTCCGACAAATTCCTGCCACCATCCCGGTGCCGGGTTCGTGGGGTTACTGCGGGCGTGGGAACTAAGCGAGACACCGCTGAAGAGCAGTAAAGCGTTGAAGCGGTTGGGATTGAGTTCGCCCCAGGTTTCGTACGCGACTTGCAGATGGGGTAAGACGGCGTTGTTGTGGAAGAAGTGGAATGGTTCGGTATGCTGGTAGATCTGACATTTCACTGATGCAGGCTCGCTGATTAGTGCCATTCTGTTCTTCTCGTATATGACGTGTATGTAACACAAATGATAACGATTTATGTACGAGCCAGTAGGTCTATCGGTGCAGGTGTACTGGTTGCAAGATGCACGGAGGAATTAAAATTTAAACCGGTGATAATATGTTTAATATCAGCACTATTTTTTAAAATATAACAGAATAAAAAGATCTAGAGATTCCAGTAGAAAATTGCACCGACGTGTGAGCGCGCAGTTGCGCTTGTCGTTGGACTTAACTACAAATATGTACAGACAGTTTGATTTTGAAGACTGGAAGCACTGATAAGCTGATTGGTGTTATCTGACTGTAAAGCGGCCGGATAAAGACAATCGATTACATTCTTTTGACAGTATGCGATAATTTACTCGGGTTGATTATGTATGCCGTTTTTAAAGATTTATTCGAGAAACGCCGACATGGTTTTGGGACACATGGCCAGGCTCGGCCGCGGAGTCTTGTGGAAAACGTCAGAACATGCTTGGCCATCGGAAGGAGCGTATAATTATGTGTTATCCGAGCAGTGCCACCTGGTGCGGGCCAGGTGACCTCCGCATTCGTGGTCAGGGAGTTGGAGACACCTGATTCGTGGCCAGAATGTTGGCCATCAGTTTTCTCATACCGGCGGCTAGTTATTGATGTCCCGTGTCAAAAAGAAAGCAGCTCTTTCCGGCGTTTCTCTCGTATTGTTAAAACAAGTTAGCAAGCAAACGCTAACTTCAATATTTCACCTGGAAGTTGGGCTTCCCTTTTAGAACGATTACTGAAGTTACAGCAAGTTCAGAAAATTACGCAGTTTTTTTGACTAGAAGAGCATTATACGAGGTTTTTTTATTAAATGCCAGATTTTCTGTTTCATTAAAAATAAACATGAGTAAATTTGCACTGAAACAAAATGCCAGCGCAAAACCGGGTGCAACGGCTAGTCGGCAACGCAAAAGTACGAGTAAACGTCAGGTACAAATCAAGCTTGATGGCCGCTGTCAGCGTTTGCACAGCGAAAGCAAGATGTAGATGTTGTAGAAAGTGGATTAATGATCAGGCACAGCATAACATAAAGCAATAAAAGTAGCGAGCATGAACAATCGTGAATGTTTATAAGTTTGTAGGAGGAACGTTTTGATCATAGGACGTGGTAGTAGAAAGGGAAACATCACAGTGACAAATTGTTGTTAAACTGTTTATGTTATCTATTAAACTGCTTTTGTTCTTCGCTGCATACAATTACAAGGTAGCCTCGCGCATCCGCGCTCGGCACTTAAGTACTGGATAGCATTGGCTTTGTTTTGGAAAGGTCATTACGTATAAATAGAAGTACTATATAAAGGAAATAGACTAAGATTGAAATCGGATCTACGCTTTCGAAATAGTGTTTTATAAGGCGTATTAACGTCCTAAAGTTTTAATTTTTTACGCTCCGATGTTCTGACGTTCTGATGTTTCACGTTCGGATTTTCTAACATTCTGACCTTCTGACGTTCTTAAGTTCTGACGTTCTTACTTTCTGACGTTTTTTCACTTTTCACAATCTGACACCCTGATGTTCTGACGTTCTAACGTTCTGACGTTCTGATATTCTGGCGTTCTGAACTTCCGACGTTCTGACGTTTTTAGTTTTTTACGTTCTGACCTTCTGGCGTTCTAATGTTCTGACGTTCTAACGTTCTGATATTCTGACATTCTGATATTCAGACGTTCTGAATTTCTGACTTTTTTGATTTTTCACGTTCAGACGTTATTAATTTTTCACGTTCGGATTACCTGACGTTCTGTCTTTTGGCGTCCTGACTTCTGATGTTTTTACGTTCTGACGTATAGATATTGTGTAGGCGGCATACTGGGCAATGTACTTTACCTTTTATGGAAGTTTACGTAATTTGCTGCTCACATAACAATTTTTCATCTACAATCTACATTAAAAAAGAAGTATTTATGTATCCGTTATAGTCTCCGTGGTTACAGTCATTGTGTTATGGGCTTTTTATAACTGTGCAGTGAATACAGTACTTACTTTTCCGAGTGCTCTTTACGTTTCCTATACTTAAGACCTGGTGAAACCATCTTCTAACCACTGGGTAATAAAAACAAACAAAAATCTATTGGCACACCTATGGAAAATACGGAATTTTTTAAGACCAAGCTGGACTTAAACTGACCACGCGTTGACGAGCCTATTAAAACGGCGCATAAATACGCTTTGGTCGGTAAGCTTGTATGAATAAATAAATATATATAAAGATAAACTATTTTGCTGTGCGTATTCAGGAGTAAATTGTGTATTGCATTCAGTAATTGATTGTTGCGCGCAGTTTGCGCGGAATCTATTAGAAAGTTTCGTAGTGATTACATGAAATACACTGATTTGTTGCTGAAGGAAACCACTTTCTCCCAGTATCCTGCAGCGGCTTCCTATATGTTTCAATATTTATTGGAACGCCCGCGGCAAAAATATTATTCATGTGACTATATTCGGGCTTTTCTGCTGCTGCTAGAAACCATGCAATAATTTTATTACGCTGCGCAATATGTATGGCGACCGCAGTTCAATAAATGCAGTACAGTCCAACGAAACATCATTCTATCATTGTTCTTAACAAAATGCAAGGAGCCAATAGTGTGTACAGTATTTATTATTTAATCCTCTTTTTAAAATTCCCCAGGCAAACAAACAGATCTGAAAAAATCTGCAAAGCATTCAGAATGAGTTTCGGACGTCAAAATTATTACGGAGCACTACTGCATATCGGTAATTACAGCATCCGTAGTCGTATGGGTGTGTCTGGGACCGGCGCGAAGATTGTAGCGAATAAGAAATCTATAACCTTTTGGGCGATCCCAGAAGAAGAGCGTTAGACGCGATAAACCGGGATTAACCGGACGGCGACGTAATCATACGCACGTCAGCCATGTGCTCTGTCTCGCTTCGATAATACTGTATGTACTGTATTTTGCCACTTAACGGGGGTGGGCTAAAATGGTACTTCTATGCTTGGAAAGAATACTTTTGCCATTGTCCTATGTGGTATCTCATGTGTAAGCTGCCGTAAGATGCACCTACGTTTTTTTGTTTTTCTTGCCATTTAACATTTTAACTAAGGAAACTAGAATATTTGCGGGTCTGCCTAGTACTCCTTACAATTTTAGTTTTTATTGAAAGATGGTACTGTACGATGTAAGGTTAAAGTATTAGAAATTGTACTTATGTACTGTATTACTAGCCTGTCACTAAATGAGCGGTATCGGTGAATTAGCAACCAAAACAAGCGCACATCACCTTATTTTTTCAGCTGCAAAATAACATAATTTCCTGTATAACTTCCTGTATTGTCTTGGGAATTGTTTTATCAGTTCATCATACATTAATTTTCATCACCGAAAGTAATAAGAACCTAACGTATTGCACGAAATGAATAACGAGCGGCTTATTGATATCAGAGGACAGGGAACCAGTTCACAGGTTTGCACTCTGACAATCCCAATAAGGTAGCGATACAAAGTAGAAGTACTTATTGTAGCCATTTTTTGCTTCGATAAATGCTAAATGTAGATAAATGCGATTGCCCAAAATGCTTCGATAACACGAGTAAGTATTGTGTCACAGGGTAATCGTATTTACAGTTACATTAAGTATTGTGTTTCAGGCTAGCAGGTTTTTCTGGATAGCCGGCATCATTGCGGTGATTGCAGCATGTATTGTGTTTGTGCGCTGGATATGGCGGTAGCTCAGCTAAGGAAGTGGCGTGCACCTACTCGCTTGTGTCACGCTTGTGCGCAAAGGTGAAAAGGAACCGATCATTGTAGTGCTTACTCGGAAACGTCATGGTGATCTCTGCCTTCAGCCATGCAACGGCACCGCCCAGACTTTTGCTTTTTTGTGTCCTCGTGGCAAACATGTGAATTATAACATGGATTATGGCACAGCACACAACGAGTAAATTGTAATGGCGAGGCCCGTCTAGGGTGCTCTACCATTTCGGTACACGGTCATTTCGGCGTAAAATCTAAATTAAAATATGTAAGAAATTTATAGAAATAAGTAGTCTAAGAAATTCAATAAACCTAAGGAAGCCCAGAACGCCAGGAACAGCATAAGAAAAAAAAGGAATAAAAAACCGAAAAGCAAAAAATAAGAAACCGAAAAACCCTAAAGAATCCAAGAAACGTAAATGGCAATAACATTAGGGATAAAGTATTTTTTAAAAATATTTCAATGAAATAATTTTGATAAAATGCAAACAAAATTAGCTTTTTGAGAAACAAAAGCATGCCGAAATTTCCGATGCGAAATTGGTCCAACACGATTGTGAAAAGAATAAAATTAATAAGAAGGCGCACAAAATTCGTGTCTGTCGAACAGATTACGGCTGCGACGGGGCGTAGCTTAGCAACGTAAAAAATTCACGCTCTAACTGTGCAGTGCTGCTGATGAGTGATGACAATAATTTTACGACTCTTCTCCGAAAAATTTTACTATCTAAGTTACGCGACTCGACAGAACCGTCAATTTTACGCCGACTTTTTGTAAAACAAAAGAACTACGTACCGGTACGAGTGCACCTAGCTGCCCGTGATAGCGCTATGAGCTGGAGCTGATATTACATTTTAGCTACAGACACAGACTCACTCAGTGGTCACAGTTTTCACAATGATTTGTTCGCAGAGCGTTTCCTACCTAATCAGCACAATGAGTCATTAAAAAATAATAATTAATTGGCATCAATCTGGATCCACCGCTCTTGGGAATCTGTCTCCAACTGGTTCGCACCTGTCATAATTGGACGCAGCCTGACTGTCACACTGCGCCCGGTACGTCGCGATTTGTTATGCGAAACGGTTTATTTCTTGGTCGATGCTGTGTGCACGGGAAAACACGGGTGTTGGCTGCGTGCACGGCATTTTAAATGTGAGTTTATTTTACGTTTACGTATTGGCTGTTTGTTGTGTTTCAAAGTGTTTTTGCTGTTCTCGTTTTCACTGCTTTTAAAACATGGTAAATGCAAAGTTGCGTTTCGGCATTCTCAAACTCCTCCTCACAGATCTTTATTTCTACAAAATCCTTATCCAGCATGATGACTTCCGTCGTAAATGTTGCTGCCCATAAGCGATTTTAAACTGCCGATTACATGGTTTCCTAGGTTTGCGAAATAAATGCACATAAAAAAGTTTAAATAGTAATAAATAAAAATTTAAATACATGTAAATAAAAAAAATTTCCAG